AAGAACGTTGTGTGCTAGAAAAGCCTAGAATCCTATAAGCACTAACCCTTGGTAGCACCACATCTGTACATCCTTGCCAGCTCTACAAATGGTTAGTACATCTCTGATCACGGTGAAAACCCACCCTGCCCTGCGTCAAACAAATAGTAGATGTCGATGTCAACTCTAGAAGTCCAGTGTCCATGGTCCTCATATAAAAAAAACACCTGCCCAACTCTCGCAGTCTTCACTATGCAAGGCCATCTCCGCAGTTTGTCTTCACTAAACAGTCAGCCACTGTTACAGTAACATGAGCTTGTTCTCTTAAAACTGATATGGAAATTCTTCGCATCCACAGCTCAGCATGACAAGAGGCAGCAGCTGCACTTGAACAGGAGACTAGTAAGTTTCCACTAACAGTTATTATCACTAACAAACCAGCTCCTCCACCAAAGAGGGGCAGTTATATTGTCAAGCATCATGCCAGATCAAATCTGACACCATCATAACTGGCTGAATTAGATCTGCACATCCAAAAAAAGAACCTGGTAAACGATGTACCGGGTCTGTGACCCAGGGTCACACTCGCAGGTGGCAGGTTGGGCACCATATATAACCCAGACTCGGGTTTGCGGCTTCCCATACCTTGGATTCCCTCCAAACGGGGTTCAAGACTTTCTGTCGCTCAGATCCAATTTGTCAAGGCTTAGCGACGATATGTGAAATCCAGCCACCTCAGAATATCCATATCAGCTCTTGCTGGGGCTGCTCGAGGTGGGTCTCAACTGTTAGGGTGGCCGGTAGGCCCAGCTTTATCAAAATACTAAGTCTGAATAACACGAGGCCGGTTATTTAGCAGATAATAACTGGAGGTGGCTACCTGGTTTGGGGGGGGGGAAAAGTACTGAAAACTGCTCCTCATGGTCGAGTCACCTTCCTTACTTGCTGGCACCATTTGTGTCTCCTCTACGCAGCCATTGTCTGCCAGGAAGAGGTCTGGGGGGGAAGAAGAAGAAGAAACAACTATGGCTGTGTCAGGATGTTAAGAAAAGGTTGATTACAAAAAAAATGAGCAACAGGATGCCAAACTTGCATAACTGAGGCATCAATTCAACAAGTACTTTACGGTGACCTCCACTGGCTGTATAGTCACTAGGCCTGCAACTAATATGTTTCTGACAAACACACCGGTCACCCAAACATTCTACTCGTTCCCCATGGACGCTGCAAGCTCTACCTTGCCTGCAACTCCTTCCAGTATAGCTAGAATGCCCGTGTTGGGTGCTGCCATGTCCGGCCGCTTCCGTCTGTTGTAGCTGGCGCAACGCAAACCCAAACTTGCCACTCTACGAGCCAGATCAATATCCCAACAGCCTGCACTGGGATCCAGAGCATTCTCAAAAGCATCGTCATCTTCAATGGCATCCTCAATGACTTCAAATGCATTTGTGAAATTTCCAGTCAGCATCTCCAAAAGGGTGATGCCAAAGGCAAAGACATCGGTCTTCTCACTGAAAGCTCGGGACTGCCAGTACTCCTGAGCGATATAGTGAGAGTTCTGTTGTGCGAAAAGCTGTGAGGTCCTGTGTGTTTTCTCAACTCCTTCGGGAGGCTCTGAGTCAAGCAGCGCGCGATCAACACCACCGAGCTTTGCAACACATCTGTCATCCAGAAGGATGGTTGTTGGTCTGACGGCACAGTGGATGATGGGACCACCAGTCCCAAGCGGATCTGAATGCAGGAAGCACAATCCTCTTGCAACCTCTGCCATTACGCGGAAGCGAGCATACCATGTGCTCTGTCTAGCAGACGAGATCCAATCCTTCACAGTTCCTCGTGCCATATACTGGTAAACTAGACAGCTCTCTTCATAACAGACACCAAGCAGGGTCAAGATATGAGGATGTCGAAGCAATCTCAACCTATCGACCACCTTTGACTTCAACGTGTCATGATGGATCCCCTGCATACTTGCATCTAACATCACCTTCTTCACCATAACAAGGGTGTCATCATTCAGTTTTCCCCGATAGACACGTTCGTGTTGATCCCCATGTTCAAGCTTCCACTTTGCATTAAAATTCTCTGTAGCAACCTGAAGTTCCTCGCCTGAAAACTCTTGGAGCAATGGAACGCACGTTGTCTGTGCATCACCAACCTCTTGTAACAATTGTAATCTCTGCTCCAATAATTCCCTAACTTTCTCGGCGAGGATGTCTCTCCCAGACTCCAGAATAGACACTCTATGCTCTACATGTGCTCTGGACTTGGCGTCTTCCTCTGCTTGTCTTTGTCTGTCAGACGCAAGCTGAAAGATCTTATCTGCTAAAAGCGCCTTGGACTTTGTCTCTTCCTGCAATTTGCTCTCCACCTGTTGAATTTTCTGTTTTGACTCTTCCAGCCTCCCTGCCATTGTTTGCGCCTCACTCTCCAGCTTCTCAACCCTCCGGCGCCCTGCATTCAATTCTTCGAGCACTTGCTCAATCTTCTTCGTTAACTCCATCAGAGTATAACTTACTTGAACTACACGGAACTCTCCCACTCCGCCAAGAACAAGCAAGTTAGAGTCCCTACATGGACGCATCCTCCAAACCTCCCCATTCCATGGACAATTGTAGGATAGGACTTGCTGGTAGTGCGAGTTACTCCACACTTTTATTTCTCYATCACTTGCTGCAGTGAAGATATATGGCAAGCGTGGATGGAAAAAGRCTGATCGTACTCCTTGCTTGTGCGCYTCCCATTTCAGTATGCAGACTCCCCTCTCGTAGTCCCAGACCCCGACACTCCCTTCTCGCTTGCGTGATGAGATCAGAAGAGACTTTTGGAGCCCGGTGCCAAATTCCAGTCGAAATACACACCCCTTGCCGCTGTCCTTCAGGGTTTGGACAACAGACCTGTTTTCCAAGTTCCATACCTTGATTTCATTATGGTCTGCGCCTGCTAGGATCTGTTGCTCCGTTGGATGAAACACCACTGGCACTACCATAGTGGAATATCCTTCAAATGTTACCTTCTCCCATTCAGGGTGCCACCGCCACATAAAAATATTTTTCTGACCTTCGAAACTAGCCAATAAACAAGGTAAGGTCGGATGGATTGCCATTCGATAGGCCATCTTGTCACCAGTTTCTGTGGTTAGCACCTTTATACACCGCAAGTTGGACCCTTGCGTTTCATACACCTCAAAGCTTTTCGGTCGCCTCACCAGAATCCAGTCTTTCTGCGCGATGAATACAGCTTCACGGGCATCTGTCACGTCAGGGATCACCCAAGAGGCGACCCGTGTTCCGTCCTCAGAGTTCCACACTTGCACTGAGTTGCCGTTAGGTGAGAATATGATCCATGGCTTAATCGGATGCTCGTCAATATACAAATAATACGTGCTACCACCATCCAAAATGTCTTCCCCTTTCCTTTCAAATTTTGGAACCAGTTGAAGCTCACCTTTGCCATAACCATCCCCCATGAGGATGACAGTTTGGGGAGACTCCAATTATTGCTTCCGCCAGCAGGGACTCCGGTAATCAATTGCCTGCCAAGTGGTACTCTTTATCCGTGCTCAACCTTCCAGTCGCGTCACAAAAGAAATTTGTAATTATGGCAGACAGAACAGAACAGAACAAACCCATCGTCAGCAGTTTAACACCGGCCAGGGTTCGGCCAGAGTTTGGCCGGACACCGAACTCTTCAGCCTGAGAATAAGTTTGGGTTTGATAAGCAGAAACGTTCGGTCCACGTTTTCTATTCATTATGGATAATTGTCATTAATTGGTGATTTATTTTTTACTATTGGTTACTGGTTATTTGCTGATTATTTAATATCTATCTGTATTTAAATCAACACTACCTCCTACCGTCTTTTCGCCCAACCTGAATTATGGTGCGTGCGCTCCGGTTTTTGCCGAGCCTGGAGTGTGAAGGGTCCCATTCAATTTTTCTTTTCTGGTACCCACATAGAAACTGATTTTTTTTTTTGGGGGGGGGGCGCAAAAGAAAATGAATTCTTTTTTTTTTTTTGGCGCAAAAGAAAATTTGAGTTTGTGCCTGCGGTGAAAAAAAAAAAAAAAAAAA